AAAGGAATGAAATGAAGGATGGATAGTTTTATTTCAATTAATTAAATAAAGTAGTTGGGCCAATGAGGTAGTTTAATTAATTATAATAAATTTTTTGGTAATGTTATTGTCAAACCCTTAATTATTAATGTTGTATCTTTTTATTTTAATTGTTTATTATATTTTTTAATTTATTAAGAAATAAAAAAATATGAAATTTTAAAAAAAGTGTAATGTAAGAACATAATAAGTAATTACATTAAAAAGATGTGAAATTACCTACTTAAAGTGTGGCAATAACCCCACTCTAATTTTTCTTCCTTTTCAAATCAAACAAACTAATTAAGAGATGAGTTTTATAGCAAATTATATTATAATATTTTTGTAAAATATATCCAACAAAAAATATAAATATATATAAAACATTTTAATTAAGATGGTTGGCCAAAAATATCATCTTTTCTTTATTTCTCTCAAATTAAGATACCCTTAAAGAAAATTTATTTTCATAATTGGTTTCACTTGTAGATCAAGTTTAGGACTCTAAGTTGAGTAGGGATCATTTATGCATAAATTTTATATACTAGCAAAAACCCTTCTTAAACCCCTCAACTTTTCAAATAGTTAGTGACCAACCCTTGACCTAAAAATGAAGCAAATAAGCCCTCCAACTTGCCGCGTGAAGCAAATCAGCCACTTCGTTGATTGAGCCCCTCAATGCGGTTTGTGTAATGGCTTGTGTGGCAATTAAAATCTACATGTGGCATCCAACGTGTCATTAGTTAGTTAATTGAAGGAAGAACATTTGGGATTTGGAATTTTAGGGATTTCATAATTAATTCTCCACCTAAAGTCTCTCTTCGATCTCCTCTTATTCTCTTTCTCAAAACCTCTCTGTGATCAATCTCTTTTGATTCTCATTCTCAATCCTTGAGATGCCTCGATCTTGGACCTCACAAGCCCAATCTTCTATTTCTACACCAAAAAGCTCTACACCCAAAAACTCATTTGGAAGTTGCTTGGTAGGGACAGGGTTCTTTAAACTAGAATACAAGTACGAAGGTAGGACATGATATTGCAATTGTGGTGTTGTTTCTCCAAGAATCACAGCATGGAATAAATCAAATGTTGGAAGGAAGTTTTATGGCTATTGATATTATGGGGTGAGTTAAGGGAAATTTTCATGTTTTAGGTTAATGGCATTAGGTTGGGCTTTTTTAGTTTAATTGAGTTTAGGCATTGGGTTTTTCATGGTTTAGGGAAATTTTCATGTTCTCATGGTTGCTAATATTATGGATTGAATCATGTTTTTTTTGTTTAATTACTCTATTTTTCAGCAAGAGGAAACAAAAGCTTGTAATGCATTTGAGTGGCATGATGCTAAAATTGTTGGAAGAGCACTTGATGTTATTTGGCACCTAAAATTGGACTATGAAAGTTTGCATTCTGAATTTGAGGAGCTTAAAACCCAATGCTTAAATGGTGGTGATGATGACATTGCCAAAGCTATTGACAAGCCAACTGTGAGGGTGAGAACTATTGAGTTTGACATTAGAAAGATGAAGTCCATAGTACATTCAACATGTAAGATGATGTGTTTTGCTGTGGAGGAGCAGATGAATAATTTCAAAGGAATGCCTTTATTGGGATTGTGGGTTTGGTGGTTGTGTTGGTTTTGTTTGGTAAAGTGTAAATTGGCAATGACCATAGAAAGAAAGCATTTAATATGGTTGTTTTTTACTCTTCTTTTTTTTTGGTGGTCAACTAGAAATTAGTTGTACTATTTATTGGCTAAGAAGAGAATGATTATTTTTGTGTATATTAAATAATGCTATCAATCCTACCTCATGTGTACATTCAAGTTTAAAGGAATAGAAATCTAACTTTCATATAAGTTGACTTCCAAAGTTGACTTCCAAAGTCTACTTCTTTGGTAACAAACAAAAAAAAAAATTACAAGTTTTGATAAAGTAGACATAGTGACTTAAATACCAAATTCTACTGTTTTGCTAACAAAAAAAAAAAGAAAAAAAGTTTCACTGGCATAAAGTAAATATAGTGACTTAAATACCAAGGTCTATTGATTTGGGAACAAAAAAAATACAACTTTCACTGGCATAGAGCAGACATAATAACTTAAATACCAAATTCTACTAATTTGCTACCAAAATTAAAAAAATAAAATACAAGCTTCACTAGCATAGAGCAGACATAGTGACTTAAATACCAAAGTCTATTACTTTGTTAACCAAAAGAAAAAAAAATTACAAGTTTCACTATCATAGACCAAACATAATGACTTAAATGCCAAAAAATACTACTTTGCTAACTAAAAAAACATACAAGGTTTGATGGAGACCATCTTCAAGCCCATGCATCTAAGACACCAAAAAGTCAACCTAATTTTCAAGTTTTCACATAATGCTACATAACATTGATAATTCTAATATGTTTCTACTTAAAAGGCAATCCAAAAGTTGTCTTCCTTGCTTAAATTCATGTCATCCCTAAAGGAGGTACACCAAATATGTTCTTGAGTCTCCAAAGGGAGTTGCACTTGAAGTTGTTGCCGAAATTGCAGTACTAGAAACAATTGTTGAGTTAACTGGCTAATGAGAAACTATTAAGGCAACTGCACTTCTTTCCTTTCTAAACCTCAACTTAGCAGGCATTCCAAGCTATGAATCCAAAGTTTTCAAGAAGTGAAATAAAATTTTGCAACCAAATGAGTTTAATGGAAGAACACGTTAAAAAATTAATGAAGCCCACTTACATCTGTGATATGTGATCTATGATAAGGGTGTTGTTAACTAAATTAACCATTGATAATGGTGAGATGTTTGGGGTTATAGTAGATGGTCCCACATCAATTCTTGTCTTTTGTATCCTAGCTTGTAATCACCAATCTATAATATGTAAAAATCATGATAAATTTAAAATGTATAAATAATTAGGTAATAATGGAAAATGGATTATAATTTGTTTCTTCATATGGTAGGTAGCAAATGGGCACCTTTTCCTTGTTTGACTTGAGGATGCTACAAAAGGAGGGGTCTACATACAATTTGGATAGAATTAACTACTAAAGAGTTAAATGAGCAATAAGCAAACAAACAAATATGTAGGAAAAAAAGTAAAAAATCCTCATTATTAGTAACAAAAGGGCATGATTAGGTACTAAAATGTTAAACAAGTAATAAGTAAACAAAGAAATATACAAAAAAAAAAAAAAAGATCAAACCTCATTATTGGTAATAAAAGGGCATCTTGTGTTGTTATGTCCTTGTTTATAGTAGAAATAAGTCATAATCCTTCCTTCCTTAACATTTTAGCCTTGCTTAATTTTTTTGTCTTATCTTTTACCTTAATTCTGATATATAAGGTTTTTGTGTAAATAAATATTTCATCTTTTAAATTTTATGTTATAATATATTTATTTTAAAAAAACAAAAAGAGGTAAATTTTATAATTAATTAAATTATAATATTTAAAAATATTATAACTTTATTAATTAAAAAAATCATTTATTCCCTTTTCTGCCATACTTAATAAAATTATTTTTTTAAAATTTTGAACGAGACACAATGACAATAAATAGAAAAAAAAATTTAAAAAGGAAAAAATAGTCCTACTCTCTAATGTCCAACCCTAGGAAAGAGGAGGAAATTAATTTCTGATGAGGGTCAAAGTAGTCTTTTAGTAGGGGCGCCAAAACCAAGCACACACTGTCAACACTCCTCGGCATTTCCGAACCTCCCCAACTGCCAATTTTTATACAAAAACATCACGAAGAAAGGCAGCTTTGGTTTCATCGAAACCTAAACATTGAAACATATATATTCATTACAACCATCTATCTACCAGACCCAACTCCTCTTTTCCAAGGATCAACCTTTTCTACCCGAGTTTCAGGACTAAGCGGTGAGTTTTCGAATCATTCTTTGAATCAGTGATTTTAAGAATTATCTGGGTTTTGTTATCAGTTTATATTGCTACGAGTAATGTGAGTAAAATGTAGTTTGTTTTTGGCTTTTCTTTGTAATTGATTCGTTTCATTTTCGTGGTGGGGTGTTTAAAGTTTTGAACTTTGATCTCTTGTTTTAGCTTAAATGTTTGTGAGCGTATGTTTTACTATCAGTTGATATTGCTACAAGTAATGTAAATGAAATGTAGTCTGATTTGATTTTTCTTTGTAATTGATTCGTTTCATTTTCGTGGTGGGGTGTTAAAAGTTTTTAACTTTGATCTCTTGTTCTAGCTTACACTTTTGTGTGGGTATGTTTTATTATCAGTTGATATTGCTACAAGTAATGTGAGTGAAATGTAGTTTGATTTTGGCTTTTCTTTGTAATTGATTTGTTTCACTTTCTTGGTGGGGTGTTTAAAGTTTTGAACTTTGATCTCTTGTTCTAGCTTACATGTTTGTGGGGGGTATGTTTAGAAAGTAATTTGAGGATTCTTGGAGAAAAGCAAATGGAAAGCTTTGAAGCTTAAGTCTTGTATGTCATTTTGGTGAAAAAGGAGGGTGAGGAGTTTACTGATCTTATGGGAAAATTTTAATTTTAATATGAATGAATCTTATAGCCCTCCCACATTTTATGACAAGAAATTGTGTGTGATCATCTGTTTTGGTTAGTTTGATGTTGAATTCGGTTCATGTATTCAAAGTTTTGAAGCGAGATGGTACTGTAGACTGTCCCATATAAGCAATTTTTAGTCTATAAAGTCTTTGTTTAATGTTTAATCTTTTTTTCTGAACATTTTGGATAAATGACCCTCTAAATTTTGCAGAATTGTTTTGATTTCCAGTAATTCAAGTTGCTAATAATGGGAACAGTTGCAAGGCCTAGCTCATACATGGCAACAATTAGCCACTCTATTTCTGCTTCTCGTAAAACACTTTTCCCAAACACGGCAAACTTGAGTCTTGAACATAAGGAGGCATCTTGGATGTGGCTTAAAAGCTCCTCCAACATCTCATCACGGCAGCCCTTCTTCCAGGTTTTCAAATCAGGGTCCAGGAAATTTGAAAAGGCTGTTGTAAGGGCAGCTTCTGCAGCAAATGATGAGAATCCTTTGCCAGGGTTGCCTATTGATTTGAGAGGTCATACAGCCTTTTCATTTATTTAATTCTATTTTTCTGACTGTTTTTAAAGCTTCTGGTCCTGATGAATTTTATCTTTGTTAGATCTCTTGTTTCATAGTTATGGTAGTTGCTTTTACCAAGTTTAAGTCTTCTCTAGTTTATATTGGTCTGATAAGGAATTGAAGTCGCCTCTTTTTTAAATGTAAATGAAACTTTATCTAGAAAGGAACATCACATGTCTGTAAAATCATATGACTTCTACTGTATAAATGTGCAAAGTGCTGAGAGACAGGTAGGAAAGAAACAGCTATAATGGTACAAATTCTTTGATTCTCAGTCAGTTGATACTTATCTGTCATGTACGAACATACGTGCTGCAGCATATAACATGCAGCATCTGTTAACAGGTAAGAGAGCTTTTATTGCTGGTGTTGCTGATGATAATGGATATGGTTGGGCAATAGCAAAGTCTCTTGCAGCTGCAGGAGCTGAAATTCTTGTTGGGACATGGGTGCCGGTACATAAATTAATATAATACATTGCTCTTGTAGTTCAGGAGATGTCAACATTATTTAGTTTCTTATAATAGGTTTCTTTTGGCAGGCACTTAACATTTTTGAGAGCAGTCTAAGACGTGGGAAATTTGATGAATCACGCATGTAAGAATTACCAAAGGGATTGATGTTTGTTGAACTGTCATTGTCTTTATGTTCCTGGCTAATTGGTCTTTACTTTTTCCAGATTGCCTGATGGTTCTTTAATGGAAATTACCAAAGTCTATCCCCTGGACGCAGTTTATGACTGCCCTGAGGATGTACCTGAAGATGTATAATTTTCATCATTAACTTTCTAGAAAATGAAACATTAGGTTTATAACATTATTAATATCCTCCTCGTGGTCTTATGCAGGTAAAAACAAATAAAAGATATACAGGGTCTTCAAATTGGACAGTAAAGGTATGTTGGTGTAAATATAGAATGATATTTTTGTCAAAACACAGATCATTATATGTAACCTTCAACCGCAAGAAGTTGGCTTTCTGGCGCTTCCTAGTTGCAAAGTCAATGTTTACCTGTTTATGTTTTCTTTCTCCCAAGCACATATTGTTAGGGAACAGAACCACAAACTGACTTGTTGGCATTAATATCTCACAGGAGGTTGCTGAATCTGTGAAAAAGGATTTTGGCAGCATTGACATCCTTGTTCATTCACTAGCAAATGGACCAGAGGTGCAGCGTGCTTAACTTCTTTGCTTAAATTTTGCATTACTAAGGTGCAATGGTACTAATATGCATTTAACATTAACCACAGGTAAGCAAACCACTTTTAGAGACATCAAGGAACGGATATCTTGCAGCTCTCTCTGCATCTAGTTACTCTTTTGTTTCTTTACTTAAGCATTTTGCTCCAATCATGAATCCAGGTATGTTTTTCTTTTAAATCTCACCCTTTACTTCTCCATAAGAATTACTGCCAATTTTTGCTATAATTTAAGCTTGCCTATTCATCTTACAGGTGGTGCTTCAATATCTCTAACATACATCGCTTCTGAAAGGATTATCCCAGGGTACGTTCCATTCACAGTCCTGTTAGTGAACTCTCTTAGGAACATAAAACTTATCTCTGTTTCAATCTCATGCTATGCACAGATATGGTGGGGGCATGAGTTCTGCAAAGGCTGCATTGGAGAGTGATACACGAGTGAGTTTTTTCCCTATTTCTTATAGCATCCTGTTCAGTTTGGTCCTATACTTTTTAGGTTCTATAACTTTAGTAAGATCTAATTTTCTTGATTCAGGTGCTGGCTTTCGAAGCTGGAAGAAAACACAAAATCAGAGTCAACACAATATCTGCAGGTGTAGAATTACTTCAGATTAAATAAATCACAAAAAAAATGCTCATTAAGAATTTGAGCAGCAATCTAATTGGAAGATTAAAATTTTTCAGGTCCATTAAGAAGTCGTGCTGCTAAAGCAATTGGATTTATCGATATGATGATTGATTATTCACTGGCTAATGCACCACTGCAGAAAGAACTTTCAGCAGGTGCGTTGCCAACTATTACTTTATATGATTCATTTCCTGTTAAATATATCAGATTTCGACATGTTTAATGATAGAAACACTACCATACGCATCTTTAAATTTCATGTCTCCAAGTCCAACCTAATAGCATTGCATTTACCAAATCCTAAATGTAATGTGACAGAGGAGGTGGGGAATGCTGCTGCCTTTCTGGCATCACCTTTGTCCTCTGCAATCACCGGTGCTGTTGTGTACGTGGACAATGGTCTGAATGCAATGGGAGTGGGAGTTGACAGTCCAATATTTGAAAACCTTGATATTCCAAAAGACAAATAGAGCTATGTTGTGACTTGTGTGAATGGTACAATATTTGCGAACCTTGATTTTCATAAACATGACCGGAGCTAGTGTTGAGGTTTCGAGGCTCACGTTTGGTGCATTTTATTGAGAACAATGATTTAGCAGTAATAAACTGTTTCGAGGATCACGTTTGGTGCATGAATCAACAGTCTTACTTTCAATTTCTTCTTTGCCTTCTCAAGCTCAAGAGGATCCAGATGACTTGCATCAAAAACCTTCTCCACCTGTTAGAAAAAGATACAGATAACTGATCTTGGATTTATGAACTAGCTAGCTAAAGTGAAATATTACAAATCTCTTCAAGCCCTCCAATAAATACCCCCTTCACTAGTGTCTGTGTGTCATGTAATTCAATATCCTCAGAACCTTTTTTAGGAACACTATTCTGTGATGGCATATATTCTTCTCTGAATAGACCCTTTGCAGATCCTTGCCCTCTTCCAGCACCGGGAGCAGGAGCAACATGACTGGATTGTTTCTTAACCCCAGAGTCTCGGTAAGATATGCTTCGAACCTCACCATCCCATCATATGTCCTCTGGTGGGATCTCCAGTCAGAAGGATATTGGTAATATTCCCTTTAAAATCTTCATTTCTTCTTTTGCAATCAGCAGCCAGCTTTCATGATGGCTTGTCCAGAGCAAACATCTATAATGAAAACAATGATATAGTTACAATGCCATGTAAGATTGTAAGTTTACAATCATACCATTTCGTTAAACGAGTAGATGCATAAAATATTATAGTTGGATCTCTGAACAAAAAAAAAAAAAACCAATCATATAATGACACATCATGATTGTAAGCTTACAATACCACATCATTTTCACTAATGATAAGACAAGATGTTCTTAGTTATTTGTATAACCCTTCATCAAATAAAGTAAATAGAATATTTATTTCGGTTGAAAGGCAATCTTGCAAAACAATTAAGACACCCTGTCCCTTTATGTTGACACATTACACTGCATTGTTTAAAATTCATGCACAAAAGAGGAAAATATTAGATTGAAGTTCACAAGGAGTAGACATCCTAAAATTTCCTTCCAATTCCAGCCACCTCAACAGACCCAAGGCCTGACTTATTTGAAAGGGGGTTATATGAAAATGTCCAAACATTTATACAAAAGTAGATGCAGAATATATCTCAAAACATATTGTAAAATTTTAGCTCTGTAACAGAAGATTTTAGTCAAAACAAAATAATAACTACTTACCTCTTTGAGATCAACCCATTCCAAGGTTTCATTTGGAGTATATATATCATAGACCAGAGCATGCCGGCCCTGTATTTAAAAAGAAAAACCAAATAGAAAGCATTAAACTATTGTTGGTTGAAGTTGGAAGAACAAACTGGTATCCTGGATATTTTAGAAAAAGCATGAGAACACATTGCAACATTCTAACATGATTTTGGCCCCCCCAAAAAAAACAAAAAAAATGACAGGTTCTCTATGTCACTGATTGAAAGTATAGAACAATACAGACAAATAAGCATGCTTAAAAACTTTAGGGATGGGGCCGAGCCTACAACAGATCTTCCATTCCCAGAAACATAGCCCCCTTCAGAAACTATATTTTGATGTGATGGAGGTACATCATCATCAGTACTTGTTATTAATTCAGACAAAGAATACATAATTACAAGGTAAAGAGCGCCAAGCATATGAACTACCACTCTTTACAATGCTCTCACTTGCAACTTTACTGGAAACGATAAAATAAGCAGATAAAGCATAAGAATTCAGCAAGAAGCCCGAAGAAAGCAATCACCCATAATAAAAATTGAGTTCACTTAAACACTCAAATAAACCTTAAACCATAATTTCCTCTCATTCCCAATACATTTAAATCCAAAACACCAGAACCCGTTATAAAAGTAGAAATCAAGCAGAAGAAACCCCAGAAGGAATACAGAAACACATATTCCATAGGCATGAATACAATACAAATTACACAACATACCACTACTATTGGAAACTTGATATTCCATAGCAAAGAAAGAGCGCGGAAGGCCTTGCCTTTGTTGAAGAGACAGAACAAAAACCCCAAAGAGAAGTGTCGCCGGAGATTCAAAGAAGCTGTGGATGAGATTCCGGCGCAATGCAGTGCAATGCAAAGGGGGACGTAAAGGGCGTATGGGTATGGAGAAAGTTGGGATTTTTAAGAGAGGAGGGAGTTATCGTTGATCTGAAAACGGGAGCTTTGAAACGATGAGAGAGACAAATGGAAGGGAATTGTTTTTTGGACTTGAATGTTAGGCTTTAAAAAGTGTAAGGAGCTTTATGAATTGAATCGTTTGTTATCTATAGTGTGGGCTTTTTGGTTCGGGTTCAAGGCCCAAGAAGGTAGATCTTGGACCATGTAGGCCGAAACTTTTAAGTTCCTGGGCCCCAGAGAGATTACGAAATTTTCTTAAACCGTCACATCAGTTCGAGGGCCCACTCGGAAAGGTTAGGTAGCAATCATTGATACGATGAAGGACAGAGGAGAATAAAAATGGGAAAGGAGAAATGGAAATCATCTTGCATTGACTTTGTGAATATTGGTCGTTTGCCGCAGTCTTCTCTCCTTCAAAGCAAACTGAAAACACAATTCATTGAGTCAGTCTCCTCCAGATGAAGCTCGACCATTTTAGTCATCCTCATCCTTTGGTGCTGGTGGAAGAGGAGATTGGTCGGATTACTGGAATTTATTACTGCTCGGCATGTCGGGAACGGGTAGAGGGTTCTTACTACAACTGCTCAGAGTGTGGCTTTTGTCTTCATAAGTCTTGTGCTGAGCTACCGAGGGAGATCAATCATCCCTTTCACCTCAACCATCCCCTCATTCTTTATGAGAAGCGGCCAGAAAGCCACCCTTTTTACCGATGCAATTCCTGTAGAAAAAGATACAAATCAGGTGAGGAATTATTTGTTTACCGATGTTCTTCTTGTGACTTTGACCTTGACCTTAGATTTGCTTTGCTTCCAAACTTGATTGCTGGAGATTTCCCAAAGGAAAAACATTTTAGCCATGAACATTCACTCTTCTTCCTTAAAAACCACTACATTGAACCCCAAGATCGATCTTGCTCTGCATGTGAAGAGCCCATATCAGGTCCTGTTTATTGTTGTTTTGATTGTAGCTTTTTCCTTCATGAGAAATGCTTTGAGTTACCCATTGAGATCAAACACCCTAGTCACCGCAAACACTCTCTTACTCTTCTACCCAACCCTCCACCTCATCCAGAGAAATGTTCTTGCCATTTATGCACCAAAGCTTACAAGGGATTCATTTATTATTGTTCTCTTTGTGAGTTTGGCATTATGATCAAGTATACGTTCTCTGATAAAGTGATCAAAAGTGAGAATCATGAGCATCCATTTATCCTCGTATCAAGACCATTCTCTTTCTTTTGTGATGCTTGTGGTACTGATGGGAAGTACTGCATCCCTTTTGTATGCACTGAATGTGACATTGCAGTTCATAAGGATTGCATTTCACTCCCACGGAGGATCAAGATAACAAGGCATGAGCATCCAATTTCCCATATTTATTTCCTTGCAAACTATGAGGGAGGAAATAAGGTGTGTAGAATTTGTTGGGATGAAATTAATATGGAGTATGGGAGTTACCGTTGTCTACAGTGTGATTACTTTGTTCATGTGAATTGTGCAACAGAAAAAATTTGGTGGGACAAGGAGTACTTTGAGGTG